TTTTTAAGAAATGAGAAGAGTTGAAGAGAGAATGTAGTTTGAAGTTTTTTATTAGGTTGCATTTCTTCAGTAATAGGGAAATTTACAACCCAGTTATATGTGGGGTTTAATTTTGGTTTAAGAATGCTGGAATAAGATTGGGAAAGAGGTTTGTTAGGAGTATTTTCAAGTTGGTTAGTATTATTAGAATTGTTAGAATTCAGATTGGAAATATTAAGGTTACTAGCAATAGGAGGTTGGTTAGAGATAGAGTTACTGTTAGTAGTTATAGAAAAAAAAGAATCAATAAGATCAGAAGAAGTTGAAGTTTGGTGTGAGGATACAATAAGAGAATTGGTAGTTTGAGAAGATTCATGTAAGATATTTTGAAAGGTTTGAGTAAGGTTTTTCTTAGTTTGGGATGAACTAGCTTCATGTTGAGATAAGGTAGTTATATAAGTAAGATGGTAGACTTCATTGTTTTTAGAGACATATTTTTCAGTAGGGTAGTGACACTCGTTCCTCTTGGTACAGCCAATTAGAAGAGAGCATTTTGGGCAAGTATGATAATGCACGTCTGGTGTAGGAGATGGTGGAACACTGTTAGTAGAGGAAGAAAGATTAGTCTTGAGTTGTTGGGTTATTTTGTTAATTTTTTTTGAGTTGTTATTGATGTGGACAGTTGTAAATTTAGTAGATTGGATATAATTGGTGTTTGAGGTTAAGATGAATTTGGTGTGGTATTTGTTACAGAGACAAGTAATTACAGAAGTAGAGGTAGGAGCTTTAAAGAAATGTGTAATCTTATTTGATCTAAGATTTTTTGTTAAACAGCTAGTAGGTTGTACTTTAGAAAGGATTGGACGAGCCTTGTTATTGTTTTCTTCTTCATAGAAGACAATTCCAAAACTGTTAGAAAAGTTTTGGTAAAAATAATCAAGGTCTGCTATATCTGGTACTTGTTGAATTAGAGTAGACATTGTTAAATAATAACAAGTTTAGTATGAATTTTCTTAAAGACTTAGAGTTTTTTCTCTAAATTGACTTAGAAATATTTTCTAAGTAGAATATTGTTGTAAATAATGAGTTTTACAAGGGTTACAGATAGGTGCAAGGGTTGTAGTTTAAAATGTCACAGGGATGACACTAGAGTGTAACCAGGATGATAGGGTCACTAATATGACTTGGGTACTGAACACAGATAGGATTTGCAATACAAATTACTGTGTAATATTAGTAAAGGCTAAATATGGCAATAATTGATTGTGTGAATGGGTTTCTATTAATAGATGGGTTACAAGGTATTGGTGTAAATTAATAAAGTATGAATTAGAAAATGATTATATGGTTACATGAAAAGTGTGTAAAGGAAAAAGGGGATGAGAGGAAACAAAAGATAGAAAAAAAAATTTTACAAGAGAGTAAATATTAAATTTGGTTGTAATTTAGTCAATATTGGGTCAAAAATCTTCGTTTAGAGCTTGTTTTGACCAGATAAATGTATACAACAACTTTATTTAAGAGTATAGAGTAGGTTAAGGCAGTAGAAACTGCAAGATAGCTAAAAGTTATAAACTGAAGACTAAAGGCTGTCAGTACAGTTTTCTTGATGAGTTTGAAATATAAAAGCTTAATATTTTTAGAATATATGTAAAATAATGAGCTGAACAACTTTACTTAAGAGCCCAAGGAAGATTATCTTAGTAAAGTAAATGGTATAAGTATTTTTTGATGGATGAATTTTTAGTTAATTTAGTTGTCAGGTTTATACTAAACTAAAATTTTCAATATTATATTTCAATTATTGCTCAAGATAGCACTATCTATATATTTTCTAACTTTATATTACTCATCATATTTAAACTGATCTCATGCCTAGTTCAATTTTTTCTTAATCCAGTACTTATTTTTTTTTTATATTGTGTACTGGTTGTATACTTTTTCTAATCTCTCTACTACTTTCTTTAACATTGCCTTTATCATTTTTTTGATTGATTCCTTAAGAGCTATATACTACTGGTTGAAATCCAAGTAGCACTTATATCTTGCATACCTAGCATCTTCAACCCTGTGCTATCTCTATAAACATTATCTAATAACCTATTCCTAGCAATATTATTATATAATCTCTCTTCTATGTCAAAGTCCATTTTTTCTTCTCTTATATTCTTATCTTGGATACTATTTACTATTCTGTTTTTATCTTTAGTCTTACTAAGTATCCTATCTGCCAACTTCTTAACTAACTTTTTCTTATTTTCTCTCTCAGATAAACTTTTTTCTCTATATACTATCTTTACTATATCAATCATCAATCTATCCAAACTATTTCTTATATTCATTTCTTGATTTTTTTTAACTTTATCTTCCAAAATATTACCAGTCATCATCAAACTTGAGCTTACTTCCTGAACTCCACTATCATTCTTCATTACTACTTACTACTGTTTTTTTCTTATATATCTTGATTATGTGATATTTATTTATGAATAGCTAGACTTGTGTCAAGCTTAAAGCAAAAATAAAAAGTAACTCAAAACCCTAGAATTATCTCCTTTATATATATTTTATTATGATCTCATACTTATCTAAATAACATAATATTATCTTATTCTTCTAACTATTCATACATTCATAACTTATACCTATTAATTATGTACAAATTACAAATAATATATGTTAGTAAATAGGATATGGCTCTTGTGACAAATAACTGCTATGTGACTTCATTCATGGCATTACAAATAGAATAATTAATAACAAATTTATATGTATATTAGAAATGTTAATTATATTAATACATGTTTTATTAACAAAAAAAATTTTGATAGTAATAATATATTTAAAATTCTATAGAACTTAAAAGCTTAATTTGTTCAAAACTTTTAGTCACTCATAAAAATATTGTTGGTAATTCAAAACAAAACCTTGAAAATATAGCTTTTCTTGTTTGAATGATCTTATAAATATTTCTGATTTGAATTCTGCAGATTATTCTTATTTAGCAAAATGTGTACAAATAGATAGTTTTGATAAATTTCTTGATAAAATTTTAGTAAATGCTAAATGTGCAAATTATAAGTCCTGTGCAAAAGAGTATAATAATTCAACTAATTATAATTAGAAGAAAATTTAAAGTTCTATAAAAAATAATAATAAATGCTATGAAAAATCTTTATATAATAAAGGCAAAGAATGTATAAAGCAATTTTTATATAATAATTCTAGTTTACATAATTTGAATTTAATTAATATAGAAAAAAAGTTATAAATGTAATTTTTTATTTTTTTTATTTTTTAATATTATTGCATATTGAGTTTATAAGATAGTTTTTTTATAAGTTTATTATTCTTGCAAAAATTTTAACTAATATATATTGCTTATATAAAATAAGTTTTATATTTTGTTTAATATGGTTTTTGATATTTAGTATTAATTTAACAAATTATTAAACTCATAAAATACAATTATATTTATTAAACTTATAAAATATAATGAAATAATAATAGGTTTTAACTAGATAATATTTTCTATACATAACATTTTATATATAAATGCCTTGTTTTTTATAAATTTTACTATCTTTTACTAATATTTTAATATTATGATAGGATCTGATTTGAAAAAAAGCAACATAAAGATGATTATATGTAAATATATGTTCAGATAAATAAAGTCCTAAATTTGGAATAGTTTGGCCTTGTAATTTATTAATTATTAAGATAAAAGCAAGTTTAATTAGTAATTGTTTTCTTCTTAATATAAAAGGAAGTTTGATATCATTTGGTGTACTAAATATTATTCAGAAAAGAAAAACTCATTTGTCTTAATAATTACTTATAACTATTTTAGCTTCTATAATATTAGTATTGAATGTTCAATATATTAGTTTGGTACCATTATACAGATTATTAAGCAAGTCTAAATTTCTAAGACATATAATAGGTGCATTGATTTTAAGTTGCAGTTTATATGAATGAATATTACTTACAGTTATTAAATTAAAAAATTTATATTGATAAAGGTCATGAATATCATCTAGGACAGAATCAAAACTCTAATATATTATACAGTTTTCTGGTAATTTATCTAACATTATGTTATTAATATAATTAACATATTTATTTTTAGTAGTAAGTATAACCTTGTCAATAAAGTAAAGCATGTTTTTAATTAGATTGAAAGATGCAAATATGTTAATTTTAAGTTTATAAAGATTCTTTATTATGCTATTTAATTACTATATAATTAGAGATGCAGATCATATTATCTTCAATAGTTTGCTTAGTTCTGTTTCTGATTCTTAATAAAAAGTCTTTAAAATTATTAGCTTCTGAATCATTTTTTACTCTTATATTTTGATAAAGATAAAAAAGTTCTATTACTAATTACAATAAAAAAGATTTTAAAGTAGCATTTACAATTTGTGTATAATTTTTTTATAAAATTATAGGTAAAATTTGGTAAAAGTCTCTATTAAAAACAAATATTTTTCTACCAAATAGTAAGTTACATTTTATTAGATCTCTTATAGTTTGATCCAAAGCTTTTATAAAATAATAATTCATCATAAAAATTTCATTTCAGATAAATAGGTTAGCTATTTTTAGTAGTTTAGCTAGTTGACTTTGTTTACTAATAGAGTATATTAAATCTGAGTTGATATTTAAAGAAATTTTAAATCTAAAATATATGATTTGACTCTTAGACATAAGTAAAGTAGCAATACTGGATAAAGCAATTGCTAATGCAATAGAATAGGTCAAATAAATTTTGATAAGAAGACAAAGAAAGGTTTTCTTGAACCTGCAAAAACATAATGTAGTTATAAGATAAAATAAGTTTAATTAACTTTATATATATAATATTTGCAATATTTTGTTAACTAATATTTTATATTTATAATTTCATATTTTTAAGATATTTATATTAGTTAAAGTAAATTTTGCATAAATATACTTGCAGGTCTATCAACAAATATAGTGACAGATTTATTCTATTCAATATGTTTTTATAATAGTATTATATACTAATTACTAGTTTTTATTTAATAGTTTAATTTTTGTTAAATCTTTTACAGTTATTGAAATACTTATTTTATTAATCAATAATTTTGATAATTTATTTAAGTCATTATTAGATAAAATAAGTAGAAGAAGGTTATATTCATTTAGAGATTTGTTATAATATTCTAGAAGATATTTTATTTAAGATAATTATCTGGCATTCCTTTTTTTGCAAAATTTTCTAACATAGCTACAAAGTTATTATTCCATAGAAATCAAATATCACTTGGTTCTCTGAATAGTAATATAGTAGTAAATAGTTGTTGCAATATAAAGGCATTTGAAACTAAGCAGCTTCATACATAGTTTCATGATATATTAATTTCATTTCTATAAGCTTTCATCTTATTGCAATTTCTTTAAATATTGAACAAAAATAATTATTAATTAATTTTAAATTTTTGAATAATATAACTTCTTTAACATTATTTAAAAATATATATAATAATTTTTTTCTTTATTTGAATTAACTGTATATATTTTTTTTATTGTATCTCTTTAATAATATTTTGTCTATTTTTTGATTACCTTGTTTTAAATATAATATTTTGAAAATTCATAATATAGGTACTTGTAAACATTTATTTTAAAATATTTAGTTAGCATAGTTTTTTTTTTTATTATTAAAAAAATTATTTAAGTTTGATGCTTTAGAAAATATAATATTTTGCTAATTAAGAAGATAAACTTGTAAGTGTAATACTAATAGGTTAATATTCAAAAGTTCAAATCTAAAGATTCTCCAACATGTATTTAAGAAAGTGACCTATTAAGTATCCAAGTATTAATTGATTTTATTATTATCAGTTACTTATAAAGCTACACAATCATGACTTTTATATATATATTTATATAAATATTTGATAGATTTAATGCTTGAATATACTTTAATGTTAATATGGCAATTGTATTTAAAGAAAAGGTAAAGATTATAAAGAATAACTTAGTAATTATCTAATTTTGCTTCTTTTATTAATATATATTTTTTATTTTTACATCATTGATACAATGAATATAAATTATTACCTTCTTTTGTTTTTGGAATAAATTCTTTTAGATAATGTTTAGTAGAACTATATTTTTCATACATGATGCATCTCTATTAAAGAGTTCAATAGCACATAAATTATAAAAGTAATAACAGTTTAGTATAGTCTAGGTTGTTCTACTAAATTAGGTATTTCTGCTAAAACAATAGTATTATAGTTGTAATATTGTAAAGTTTATTATTAAGATAAAATATTAGTAATAAATATGTATAAAAAAGACTATGTTTTTGAAATTACACTATATAAATATATGCAATTATTTGATCAAAAACATTCTATTAAAAAGGTCCTTTTTTAATTTTTTTAACTTTGCTACAAAAATAAATAATTATTATAAAATTTACTATTAAAGCAATAATAATTATAAAATTTATTACAAAAATAAGAATTACTATAAAATTTATAAAACTAATAATTATTATAATATTTATTATAAAAAAATAACTATTTATAAAATTATAAAGATTTTTATTATAATAATAAAATCTATATATAATTATAATATATTATAAAATTTATTATCAAAGTAATTATCAAGGTAAATAAAATTTATTAAATTTACTACATATAGAATTGATTATTATAAAATTTACTATAATCAAATTTATTATAATAATGAATTACAATTTTAGTTATAAGATCTAATCTGTCTTGTAGAGTCTGTATTCTCTATGAAAAAAAATATACTAAAATTATCTGGAATTAATACTAAAAATTTTCTGTATTAAATTCTGTATAAAATTATATGAAATTTGGCATGAATTCTATATCACTTTATATGGAATATTTATATGAAAACCTTTTTATTTATGATTTAAAAGGTATATATTATATTAAGTTCTGTATATAATAAATATAAATTCCATATTTAATAAATATAAGTTCTGTAATTAATAAATATAAGTTCCATATTTAATAAATATAAGTTCCATATTTAATAAATATAAATTCTATATTTAATAAATATAAGTTCTGTACTTAATAAATATAAATTCTGTACTTAATAAATAT